GAGTTGGTACTTGGATTGGGTCTTAGGGTTCCCCAGACCCTTTGCTGCGCAGCACGGCTGTTGACATCCAGCAGGGCGTCGACGTGTTGATACCCCTTTCTTGTGTTTTGTGCAGCGAGTTTCGAGCGTTTCCCGTTTTTATCGAAAATGGCTTTTCCCTGCCCATGCATGAGTTTTCGTGGCTGAAAATCGTTAATGATTCTGAAACGATTTTTTTTGGTGATTTAAGGAGTTGTGCCTTGAGCATATCCGTGTCGTGACGCCATGAAATGCTCAAGGGAAAAATTTTTCTTATAAGGACCTCGGGGCCTCTCTACTGTGCTAGAGGTTTGTACGGGCCCGAGCTTGTAAGGGACTTGTAGCGGAACGCGGTTCAGCACTCTGCGGTGGCTGAACTCAGCGCATGGTTTCAGCAGCTTGCAGGTTAGGCCTGCTTCGTGGCAGCTTTCATCTAGATGGGGTCGCTTCCGAAAGCTGCGCCTGCTGAAGGTCCTCCAGCTAGTGTTCCTAAAGCTGTGCCTGTGGCCGTATCTGCAACGCTGCAATCTTCTACTGCAATTCAAGCTCAGTCGAGTGGTAGCACGGCTTCAGTCACCTTCACAAACTTGGTGGCGCAGCCAAAGGCTAAGTCTAGGGCGTCTCGGCCGAGTGCTGGGGATCAACCTGACAAGGAGGATCATGGCTTCTGGACCCACCTATTGGTGCGTGCGTGCCACATCAAGTCCAAGGAGGATCTTCCTAAGCAGCCCTGGGAAAGAACGCCCTGGGCTCGTGTGGCGTCCCCATTCAATCAGGTCTTGCAGTTGCCTGCAGTTGGATATTCAGACTTCATGGCAGGGAAGGACCCTGGGGAACCCCCAGAAATCAAGGCGCTTCCGCCAACACGTCCGGAGTTCGCTCGCAAAAGGCTCAGATTGGCTGCCATGACCTCAGAACCTGATGCAGTTCGAGTGAACTGTTTGGGCAAGCTTCGCACCATGATTCTTCTGGACCCTGCCACGTCCGAGCTGGCTTTGTCTTTAGTAGATGCTGCAGGAAGGCTCGAGGACGAAGCTACCATCACGAAGAGCTTTGTAGACAGTTTTGCTCCGAAGTCAACATCTACTGTTCTCAAACGGACTACGCACCTTTGGAGTTTCTGTGTCTACGTCACTGACAAGCAGCTGGGGTCACCCTTGGAGTTTCTCGAGCCTGTAGTATATGGGTACTTAAATTTCATGCAGGAGTCAGGTCGTGGAGCCACGGCGCCAGGCTCCTTCTTGCAATCGATTGGCTTTCTTCATGGGGTGGTCAGATTGACAGCTTTCCCTAATGGGGTTTTGATATCATCCCGCTGCTCTGGCCTTGCGAAGTCGGAGGCATCGAAGAAGCGCCCTACAAAGCAGTCCACAGTTTTGACTACGGACCAAGTCTGGGAGCTGGAGCGGTTTGTGGTCAATCATTCACCTTCTTTCATCTCGGTTATTGGGGGGCACATATTGTTCTGCCTGTACTCGTGTGCGAGATGGGGTGATTCCATGTCATTGGACAAGGTTGAGGAATTTATCTCAAATCAGATTGTCCTAGTGGAAACTGCTACCTCCCATCACAAGACTTCGCAAGCATCAGGAGACGCCTTTCTGTTGTTGCCGCTATTGTGCCTTGGCAGGTGCCTGTTTGAGAAGCCTTGGTCCAGTGCTTGGATTGAGAGTCGAAAGCAGTTTGGCCTAGACTCCTCTGCAATTGCCCTTCCGACATTTCACGAGAAATCTGGGAAGTTCGGAGCTACCAGGATGTCTTCTTCTGAGGGTACTTTGTGGATCAGAGAGTTGCTGTGCCTCACAGGAACGCCCGAGAAGGAAGCTGACAAGTTCTCGAGCCACGGCCTGAAGGCTACCCTGCTGTCATGGGTTGCGAAATCTGGGAGGTTCTCGGCTACCGAGCAGCGCTGCTTGGGACACCACTTTGACCCGGAGCTGCGGTCAGTACTCATATACTCCCGTGATTCGTATGCACCATTGGCTGCCAAAATACGCCTCATGCTTGACAGCATCCTTTCGGGCTCCTTTAGCCCGGATGCGCCGCGTCATGTGCACATAGACGACCTTGTGCGCGAGGCTATGTCAGAAAGCTCTGAGTCCGATGTCAGTGTGGTAGGTGATTGTGCCAGCACTATTTTTAAACGAGATGGGGCAGGGCCTCTGCCTGTTCCTGAGAGGTTGGGAAATGCCACCCGCGAGCAAGTTTTTATCCACGGAGCATCAGGCATCGCCCATGCTAGCTATGATGGGTCAAAGCTTTTGTGTGGCAGGCCATTGATAGCTGTGTACAAGGCACTCGATGACGTCCAAATGGAGGCGTCTGACCTTGTAATCTGCAAGCAGTGTGGCCGAGTAGCTTGAGCATGGGTCACGCGGCCATGAAAACCTGTGACAGTTTGTGTGATGTATTTCCTGCTCACATTTGGACCTGGCATGTGGTGATGTGTGATCATGATGCTGGGGTGCAGGGGTCCTCGACGGTAATTATCCCAGTGTGAGCGCCATTCCAATCGGAAGTGGAATGTTGGGGGTACCAACACTCGGACCCACTCTGGAGTGGCAACGGCTCACGTTAACCATCGGGCAGACGATTTATACATGTCCTTATCCCAGTGTGAGTGCCATTCCAATCGGAGATGGAGTGTTGGGTCACCAACAAACGGACCATTCTCAAATGGCGAACGACTCACAGTTACGCCAAGGCCTGTAAAACAAGTCCTTGCCCCAGATGGATGTCGTGCTATTCGGAGGTGGACTGTTGGCTCCCAACAATCGTCCGCCCTGGCACGGCAAGCGACCATCTTAGGCATCCCAAGGAGCCACCTACTGAGAGCCGTCATTGCTCGCAAGCGTAGCTCTGAAGTAGGCTAGAATGGCAACCGCTGAGTTGGAGAGCGTAGCGGAGTTCAAACGTCGAGCCTCAGCCCTGGGTGTAACCGAGGACCATCTGAAGGCATTGGTCACAGCTGGGTTTGACACCTTTGGCATTTTGCGGTGCCATACGTTCCTGGTGCTGCTGACGAGAAGCCTCTGGTAGAGCTCCTGAAGAAAACTTTCGGAGCCAACCCCAAATACTCTGAGCTCGCCTGCCTTGGGCGCCTGTTCTGGGAGAGCCACGCGCTGGCCCTAGCGGACTTGAAGCAGAGGCAGGAGCATGGGTCGGAGAGCGTAACGAAAAAGCTGCCCACGTCAGAGAGGGTGGCACGCGCCAAGAGCAGAAGAAGCGCCTTAGTGGAGTCATCTGGGGGCCAGATACAGAACCCTCTGACCAATTGGTGGATAGATTCGTTCAGATGGCTGAGGAAAATGTTGTGACCTACGTAAAGCCAGAGCTTTGCACGTCTCGGTCACAGGAGATCTTGCAGGTCAAGCAAGCCAAGAGCTTCGCCATCGGGTCAGATGGTAACCTCAAAGTCGGGCATGCTGCCCCAGATTTCACTTGCACAACCACAGGAGAATTGCGCCTTCGAGCTGCTCTACACCGTAAAGCCCTTGCCTTGGACCTGTCCGGAATCCTTAGCTACAAGGCTGGAGCTGTGGCATACGCGTCTCTTCACCTGTCTCCAGAGAGACTCGCCCCCCGGCTACAAGCCCATAACCATCAATCAGATCATGGAGGCGGACAAGAGACTGTGGGTACTCCTTTCGGAGAGGACCAGGGGTGCAAAACACACATCCCATTTT